AGTAAAGGTCAACATGGGTGAAGTATTAACATGGGTGAAAGGTGAGAGTAAAGGTCAACATGGGTGAAGTATTAACATGGGTGAAAGGTGAGAGTAAAGGTAACATGGGTGAAGTATTAAACATGGGTGAAGTATTAACATGGGTGAAAGGTGAGAAGTAAGTAAAGGTCAACATGGGTGAAGTATTAACATGGGTGAAAGGTGAGAGTAAAGGTCAACATGGGTGAAGTATTAACATGGGTGAAAGGTGAGAGTAAAGGTCAACATGGGTGAAGTATTAACATGGGTGAAAGGTGAGAGTAAAGGTCAACATGGGTGAAGTATTAACATGGGTGAAAGGTGAGAGTAAAGGTCAACATGGGTGAAGTATTAACATGGGTGAAAGGTGAGAGTAAAGGTCAACATGGGTGAAGTATTAACATGGGTGAAAGGTGAGAGTAAAGGTCAACATGGGTGAAGTATTAACATGGGTGAAAGGTGAGAGTAAAGGTCAACATGGGTGAAGTATTAACATGGGTGAAAGGTGAGAGTAAAGGTCAACATGAAGTATTAACATGGGTGAAGTATTAACATGGGTGAAAGGTGAAGAGTAAAGGTCAACATGGGTGAAGTATTAACATGGGTGAAAGGTGAGAGTAAAGGTCAACATGGGTGAAGTATTAACATGGGTGAAAGGTGAGAGTAACATGGGTCAACATGGGTGAAGTATTAACATGGGTGAAGTATTAACATGTGAAAGGTGAGAGTAAAGGTCAACATGGGTGAAGATTAACATGGGTGAAAGGTGAGAGTAAAGGTCAACATGGGTGAAGTATTAACATGGGTGAAAGGTGAGAGTAAAGGTCAACATGGGTGAAGTATTAACATGGGTGAAAGGTGAGAGTAAAGGTCAACATGGGTGAAGTATTAACATGGGTGAAAGGTGAGAGTAAAGGTCAACATGGGTGAAGTATTAACATGGGTGAAAGGTGAGAGTAAAGGTCAACATGGGTGAAGTATTAACATGGGTGAAGTATTAACATGGGTGAAAGGTGAAGAGTAAAGGTCAACATGGGTGAAGTATTAACATGGGTGAAGTATTAACATGGGTGAAGTATTAATATGGGTGAAAGGTGAGAGTAAAGGGCAACATGTGTGAAGTATTAACATGGGTGAAAGGTGAGAGTAAAGGTCAACATGGGTGAAGTATTAACATGGGTGAAAGGTGAGAGTAAAGGTCAACATGGGTGAAGTATTAACATGGGTGAAAGGTGAGAGTAAAGGTCAACATGGGTGAAGTATTAACATGGGTGAAAGGTGAAGTATTAACATGAGTAAAGGTCAACATGGGTGAAGTATTAACATGGGTGAAAGGTGAGAGTAAAGGTCAACATGGGTGAAGTATTAACATGGGTGAAAGGTGAGAGTAAAGGTCAACATGGGTGAAGTATTAACATGGGTGAAAGGTGAGAGTAATGGTCAACATGGGTGAAGTATTAACATGGGTGAAAGGTGAGAGTAAAGGTCAACATGGGTGAAGTATTAACATGGGTGAAAGGTGAGAGTAAAGGTCAACATGGGTGAAGTATTAACATGGGTGAAAGGTGAGAGTAAAGGTCAACATGGGTGAAGTATTAACATGGGTGAAAGGTGAGAGTAAAGGTCAACATGGGTGAAGTATTAACATGGGTGAAAGGTGAGAGTAAAGGTCAACATGGGTGAAGTATTAACATGGGTGAAAGGTGAGAGTAAAGGGCAACATGGGTGAAGTATTAACATGGGTGAAAGGTGAACAGTAATGGTGAACATGGGTGAACATGGGTGAAGTATTAACATGGGTGAAAGGTGAGAGTAAAGGTCAACATGGGTGAAGTATTAACATGGGTGAAAGGTGAGAGTAAAGGTCAACATGGGTGAAGTATTAACATGGGTGAAAGGTGAGAGTAAAGGGCAACATGGGTGAAGTATTAACATGGGTGAAAGGTGAGAGTAAAGGTCAACATGGGTGAAGTATTAACATGGGTGAAAGGTGAGAGTAAAGGGCAACATGGGTGAAGTATTAACATGGGTGAAAGGTGAGAGTAAAGGGCAACATGGGTGAAGTATTAACATGGGTGAAAGGTGAGTAAAGAGTAAATGGGTGAACATGGGTGAAGTATTAATATGGGTGAAAGGTGAGAGTAAAGGGCAACATGGGTGAAGTATTAACATGGGTGAAAGGTGAGAGTAAAGGTCAACATGGGTGAAGTATTAACATGGGTGAAGTATTAACATGGGTGAAAGGTGAGAGTAAAGGTCAACATGGGTGAAAGGTGAAGAGTAAAGGGCAACATGGGGGTGAAAGGTGAGAGTAAAGGTCAACATGGGTGAAGTATTAACATGGGTGAAAGGTGAGAGTAAAGGTCAACATGGGTGAAGTATTAACATGGGTGAAAGGTGAGAGTAAAGGTCAACATGGGTGAAGTATTAACATGGGTGAAAGGTGAGAGTAAAGGTCAACATGGGTGAAGTATTAACATGGGTGAAAGGTGAGAGTAAAGGTCAACATGGGTGAAGTATTAACATGGGTGAAAGGTGAAGAGTAAAGGTCAACATGGGTGAAGTATTAACATGGGTGAAAGGTGAGAGTAAAGGTCAACATGGGTGAAGTATTAACATGGGTGAAAGGTGAGAGTAAAGGTCAACATGGGTGAAGTATTAACATGGGTGAAAGGTGAGAGTAAAGGGCAACATGGGTGAAGTATTAACATGGGTGAAAGGTGAGAGTAAAGGTCAACATGGGTGAAGTATTAACATGGGTGAAAGGTGAGAGTAAAGGTAAACATGGGTGAAGTATTAACATGGGTGAAGTATTAACATGGGTGAAAGGTGAGAGTAAAGGTCAACATGGGTGAAGTATTAACATGGGTGAAAGGTGAGAGTAAAGGTCAACATGGGTGAAGTATTAACATGGGTGAAAGGTGAGAGTAAAGGTCAACATGACTGAAGTATTAACATGGGTGAAAGGTGAGAGTAAAGGTCAACATGACTGAAGTATTAACATGGGTGAAAGGTGAAGCGGTAAGGATAACATGGGTGAAGTATTAACATGGGTGAAAGGTGAAGCGGTAAGGATAACATGGGTGAAGTATTAACATGGGTGAAAGGTGAGAGTAAAGGGCAACATGACTGAAGTATTAACATGGGTGAAAGGTGAGAGTAAAGGGCAACATGACTGAAGTATTAACATGGGTGAAAGGTGAGAGTAAAGGCCAACATGACTGAAGTATTAACATGGGTGAAAGGTGTGAGTAATGGGCAACATGACTGAAGTATTAACATGGGTGAAAGGTGAGAGTAATGGGCAACATGACTGAAGTATTAACATGGGTGAAAGGTGAGAGTAATGGTCAACATGACTGAAGTATTAACATGGGTGAAAGGTGAGAGTAATGGTCAACATGACTGAAGTATTAACATGGGTGAAAGGTGAGAGTAATGGTCAACATGACTGAAGTATTAACATGGGTGAAAGGTGTAAGTAAAGGTCAACATGACTGAAGTATTAACATGGGTGAAAGGTGAGAGTAATGGGCAACATGACTGAAGTATTAACATGGGTGAAAGGTGTAAGTAAAGGTCAACATGACTGAAGTATTAACATGGGTGAAAGGTGTAAGTAATGGGCAACATGACTGAAGTATTAACATGGGTGAAAGGTGTGAGTAATGGGCAACATGACTGAAGTATTAACATGGGTGAAAGGTGTGAGTAATGGGCAACATGACTGAAGTATTAACATGGGTGAAAGGTGTGAGTAATGGGCAACATGACTGAAGTATTAACATGGGTGAAAGGTGTGAGTAAAGGTCAACATGACTGAAGTATTAACATGGGTGAAAGGTGTGAGTAATGGGCAACATGACTGAAGTATTAACATGGGTGAAAGGTGTGAGTAAAGGCCAACATGACTGAAGTATTAACATGGGTGAAAGGTGAGAGTAATGGGCAACATGACTGAAGTATTAACATGGGTGAAAGGTGTGAGTAAAGGTCAACATGACTGAAGTATTAACATGGGTGAAAGGTGTGAGTAAAGGTCAACATGACTGAAGTATTAACATGGGTGAAAGGTGTGAGTAAAGGCCAACATGACTGAAGTATTAACATGGGTGAAAGGTGTGAGTAAAGGTCAACATGACTGAAGTATTAACATGGGTGAAAGATGAGAGTAATGGGCAACATGACTGAAGTATTAACATGGGTGAAAGGTGAGAGTAATGGGCAACATGACTGAAGTATTAACATGGGTGAAAGGTGAGAGTAATGGGCAACATGACTGAAGTATTAACATGGGTGAAAGGTGTGAGTAATGGGCAACATGGGTGAAGTATTAACATGGGTGAAAGGTGAGAGTAATGGGCAACATGACTGAAGTATTAACATGGGTGAAAGGTGTGAGTAATGGGCAACATGACTGAAGTATTAACATGGGTGAAAGGTGAGAGTAATGGTCAACATGACTGAAGTATTAACATGGGTGAAAGGTGAGAGTAATGGGCAACATGACTGAAGTATTAACATGGGTGAAAGGTGAGAGTAATGGGCAACATGACTGAAGTATTAACATGGGTGAAAGGTGAGAGTAATGGGCAACATGACTGAAGTATTAACATGGGTGAAAGGTGAGAGTAATGGGCAACATGACTGAAGTATTAACATGGGTGAAAGGTGAGAGTAATGGGCAACATGACTGAAGTATTAACATGGGTGAAAGGTGAGAGTAATGGTCAACATGACTGAAGTATTAACATGGGTGAAAGGTGTGAGTAATGGCCAACATGGGTGAAGTATTAACATGGGTGAAAGGTGTAAGTAATGGGCAACATGACTGAAGTATTAACATGGGAGAAAGGTGTGAGTAATGGGCAACATGACTGAAGTATTAACATGGGTGAAAGGTGTGAGTAATGGGCAACATGACTGAAGTATTAACATGGGTGAAAGGATATAACAAAAGGAAATTAAAAAAAACTGTTAAACATATTCAAACAAATTTATTTAAAACATGCTTAATCAAGGTATAATGTGGTGTACCATCTTGATTGGTTAGGAAAAATAACAATGACCCCAAATGGATAATCATGTGATTAAAAACCTTATCGGTAGGAAAAACTATGATCAAAGGTCTGTGAATGGGGAAGTCAATCTTAAACAACAATATCCCAAACTAGTTAGAAATGTTAAAGAAATAAGAAAAGCAAAGCCATGAAGCATAGTTATGAAGTATATATAGCAGACCAGGCAATGACAATTTCTAAAACTTTTGTTCTGATATAGTAAACAAAGATTAAGGAAAGGACTGCACAAATTATATCTGAGGCAGGACAGGTAACTGAAAAGGAATAAGAAATGTTACGTATCTCAAATCAATTCTTCATCTTTGTATTTCCTAAAGCAACTCAACTATGCATTCAGCAGAAAAAGTCTTTGAAGGTCGAGAAGACAAGTTAACTAGTTTAGCAGTTACTAGTTATTAAACATATATGCAAACTAAAGGCAAACTAGTCTCCAGAGCCAGACAAAACATTATCCAGGGTGCTTAAATAATGTAGAGAAAAGCTTTGTGACCTATTGTCTACCATATTTAATTAATCATTAGACTCGAGCAGAGTACCGGAGTGATGGATGGTTGATGATGTGGCGCCAATTGCTGGAAATGGGTTTAATTGATAATTGACAAAGCCATTCGTTTTCATCTTGAAAAACAGATTAATTAATAATTCACGACAAGGTTTTACTAACGGCCGCTCATGTTTAAGACTTTTTCTATCATTCTTTTCCTGTAAATTTCAAGTAGCTGATAGTAGGAAGGTTTGTGACATTCTAAAATTTTACGTCAGCAAGACTTTGATACTGTGCCTCACAAGACTAAAAAGCTGGAGGCACATGGTAATGGGGTTTTATCATAAGTTGGATTAGACCTTGGTTATTAAACAAGACAGCAGCGAGTTCGCATGACTGAAGTTAAATCCCACATGGATTTAACTCCCATATGGGAGTTAAACTCCCAAAAGTGCTAAAAGACAATCTGTACAGACATTGCACGAGGACAAAAGATTAGCAGATGCAGTTTAATGATGAAAAATGTTGGGATATGAGGTTAGTAGTAATAATACTAGAGTTCCCATATATCTCCTGGACAATATTGAATATGTGAAGTATTTATTTATGGAAGAAATATTAAGGAGTCATGATCTGCAGGGATCATAAGAAAATGTTCAATGCATAAATATATGGAATAAAGCCTATAGGATACTGAGATTAATTTTACTAAGTATTAGCCACAGCATCAAGTAATTCCTCCAAGAGAGGAAAAAGTTTTATATTGAGTTTTATTGTTTAATATTACAATCATAGTGGGAAAAGCTGATTAATTATCTGAGGATAATTAGGTCTGGCCTCAGTTGGTCCCTGGAACAAGTCAAGGGCACCCCCTAGATTTCCACTTGTGCCACTTGTGGAGGAACTTCACTCTGGTGATTGACGCCACTCGGTACTGCAAATGCATACACCAAAATGTTATATAATTAAACAAGTTTATATTTACAGTATACTGTATAATTACAAGAGGAAAAATTACAATAAGAACAAGTAGTAAATTAGTAACAAGAACAAGAACTTGTGAAATATTTTTTTAGATAACTGATTTGTTCAGTTAAATTAATTTTCTTGTAAAATTTAGAATTAAGAAAACTGAATAAGATATATTAACACAGCAATAAAAAAATAAATATAATTACTATATATAAGCCTTATCAATTATTATTGTACAAATTATCCTATAAATGCAAGTCAGAAAACCACTACAACAAATAAATACAATATAAAACGGCCAAGCAACAAAAATAAATATACAGTTGAATACATTCTAGAACACCAAAGTTATACAAAGATATATACACATTACCACGGGGCAGAATTATCAGTAACAAAAATATTTATCAGTCAAGTTCCACTGATACAAAATATTCATGATCAAAATGGTGAAATATATAATTTATTTGATTACTCATAACCAGTAACAGATTGATATATAAGTGGTATATAATAGCAAAAGATTCAGTAAATGAATAAAGTAAATGAGTAAAGTAAAGTAAAGTGAAATATTACAAAACTATATGACGCCTACATGATCCACCAGGAGCACTTCCTGTCACCCTGGCAGACAACACCTTCAGTCATGACCCACCAGGAGCACTTCCTGCCACCCTGGCAGACAATACCTTCGGTCATGACCCACCAGGAGCACTTCCTGCCTCCCTGGCAGACAACACCTTCAGTCATGACCCACCAGGAGCACTTCCAGCCACCCTGGCAGACAATACCTTCGGTCATGACCCACCAGGAGCACTTCACAATGTTTCGTCTCCAAGCTTTCCGTAACGATCCAGCAGGTGAAATAGGGACCTTAGGTCGTGCCAAGAGGACTGAATTACAAACTCTTGCACACGAGTATCAACTAGATGTTCCCCATGGAGCCAACAAAAATGAACTGCATAACCTAATAATGGATCACCTCTTAGATGAAGGGACAATTGACTCTAAAACTCACGAATCTTATTCTATTGCAGATAAAAATGATTTGGCAACTATGAAACTCAAACTAGAACTTGCAAAGCTCGAGAGGGAGCAACATCAAGCAGCTCTTCAAATGAGGGAACGCGAGGCGACCCTGAAGGAAAGAGAGGCTGCAAAGAGGAAAGAAGAACAAGAAAGAGAGGCTGCAATGAGGGAACGAGAAGCTGCAATCAGGAAAGAAGAACAAGAACGTGAGACTGTACTACTCAGAGAGCGTGAGCGAGTACAGCTTGAAGCAAAACATCGTCACCTGGAGATGCAACGCGAGCATGATAAAAAACAAGCGGATATGGCTATAGCATGTCGTCAACAAGAACTCACGTTGGAGACTACACACCTCACTCAACGCCAGCAAGCTACCGCCAGTCTGCCAGTAAGTTTCAATGTCTCCCATGCAAGTAAGTTAATGCCATCATTCGTTGAGACAGAGATTGATGTCTTTTTTACCACCTTTGAGACCCTAGCTAATCAACTTAGCTGGCCTGTTGATCAATGGTCCACCCTTCTCAGAGTGCATCATAAAGGTAGAGATGCAGTTACTCTCAGTACCTTAGCGTCTGAGAATGACTACCAGACCCTGAAGCAAGCAGTTTTGGACGCCTACCTTCTCTCCACCGAAAGCTACAGACGAAAATTCCGTGACCATCTAAAGGCAAGTACCACAACCTTTCTAGAATTTGCCAATACCAAGAAAAGATATTTTATGAAATGGCTGGAAGCAGCACATATCTCTACATTTGCAGAACTCATCAACCTCATGCTAGTTGAGGAATTCTTGAGACGTGTTCCCCCTTCCGTCTGTTTATATCTAGCAGATAAAGAAGAAACCGACTACATCAAATGTGCGAAGTCGGCAAACACCTACAGCCTCATCCACCGGCTGACACCATCATCACCTTCCAGTAAGAAGTCTTGGTACAGTTACGATAAAGTGAGTACAGATCAAGCGAGCTCACAATTGTATTGTAAGTATTGCAAACTCTATGGACATACCATAGATAGATGTGGCAAGGCTCAATACAAGAGCAATGAACCTACTAAACCCAAACAGACTCCTCCTAAGTCCGGTAAGCCTGTGATGAATGTTGGTGTTCATGTTAATGATCTTTCTCTCTTCAGTAAACATCTGTATCCTGGAACTGTCTCTACCAACGGTACAGATTCGGAGGGACGTTTCAAATTGAAGATCTTGAGGGACACAGCGGCTCTTCAGTCCATTATAATGAAATCGGCTGAGCCTAACGTCACCTACACCGGAGAAACCGTCCTTTTCACTGACCTCGTTGCTACTACTCCATATCCACTCGCCAGAGTCCACGTGGATTGTCCCTTCGTGACCGGTGAAGTGCAAGTCACCATCAGGGAAAAGCCTTTTCCCATGCCTGGAGTGCAACTTCTCCTGGGCAACGACTTGGCAGAAGACCTGCAACCGACCAACCTGATCGTCATGGACAAACCCCAGGTGTGTACCTCTGTAATGGATAATCCCATCTTTGAGTATGTTCCAGCAAAGGTTCAAGAGAGTGATGAAGTTTCTCCTCCTGTTTTGGTGACCACCCGTGCACAAGCTGCACGACCACAGCCAGCTGACTCTACTGCTACCGCTGTCCCTCAAGACCCTCAGAAACTACCTCCGAATCTTACCACGTTGGAGTTCCGTACCTTACCTTGAGGTTACCTTGAGGTGCTTCCGGGACTTAGCGTCCCCGCGGCCCGGTCGTCGACCAGGCCTCCTGGTTGCCGGACTGATCAACCAGGCTGTTGGACGCGGCTGCTCGCAGCCTGACGTACGAGTCACAGCCTGGTTGATCAGGTATCCTTTGGAGGTGCTTATCCAGTTCTCTCTTGAACACTGTGAGGGGTCGGCCAGTTATGCCCCTTATGTGTAGTAAGTTACAGAGGGAAGATCTTACCTTGACACCATTATTCTTCCAGGCTGAGACTCAACCTGACAGTATTCCTGGGTTCTTTCTAGAGAACGAGTTGCTCTACCGCAGATACAGACCCAGTAAACTGAAGGAGGAGGACGACTGGGCCAACGTCGAACAACTAGTGATTCCTGCCAGCCTGCGGCCCACTATTCTACACCTGGCCCACGGAGCACTTTCGCACTACGGTTTTAACAAGACCTACCACGGAATCCGTCAAGACTACTACTGGCCAGGTATGGTAAATAGCGTCAAACAGTACGTCAAACAGTGTCATACATGTCAGATGGCAGGTAAACCGAACATCTCTATCCCCAGAGCACCACTGACACCCATCCAGGTGCCTGCGGAACCTTTCCACAGACTTATTATAGACTGTGTTGGTCCTTTACCTCGGACCAGTTCTGGCAACGCCTATTGTTATGATCTCAGCCTGCAGGAGAAACGAGTCTCCCTTCTTGAGAGTTATTCAGCAAGCCTGACCTAACTAGAAGGTCTAGCAAATATTGAGGTGATAACCCATGTGAAAAATGGTATGGTGGATTCAATGAACAATTTAAGATTATGGGCAATGAAGAAGAAAACAGATAAATGACTGGCTAGGAGATGTGGACATTTTGCTGGAGGCGTGAGGCTCGCTTCCGGAGGACCTTGACCTCACTTGAGTGCCAGACATCGCAGGGGGTAGCCGCGCTCCGTTGAGCTCCCATCAGAAGGGAACCCCTAGTGATATATCTCGAAGAGAAGAGAAGTGTGTAGACGTGCCAGCTGTGGAACCGAGCTGGGAACGTTGTGGTCTCAAGTCCTGGTCGAAGAAGAGAGTATCAAGCCGGCCAGAGACATTATTGTGGGCCGTGGGAGCGCCCTGACCAGACGCCGTCAGAGGGAAAGCGCCCTCGACCAGCCGATCTGTGGTAAGCACGATATACGCCAGTTCATAGTGATTGCTTATATTTGGTCGTGTGCCCAGCGACAGTAGCAATGTTTATTTATAAGTTAGACATGTTTTAATAAGGCAGAAAGCCTGAAATAGTAGAGTGAAGAGGGAGGAGCACGGAGCGACGTCCGTCCCCTCTGAGCTCTGACCGACGACTGAGGGAGCCTGGCTCCGGATGGAGGAAGACCCTCCCAGCGAGTGAGGACCGCCGCCAGGCGAGGAGGAGTATGGACCCGCCCAAAACGGGGGAGTCTACTCTCACTGTATGTAGAGGACAGATAGAGGTTTGAGGCAAGCATATTGTGTGGTTATTTTTGTTTATGTGTTAAAGGGGAACATTTTATTGGAACGTCGATGGGTTGCAGGTTTGTCTTTTGGGGAAGAAGTTGCTGAGAACTTCGAAGCCAGCAGATGAAGTAATTGATGAGACTCCAAAGGTAGTGGAGCAGAGGACCTCGAGCTGTGAGGAGAAGCAGCAGTGAAGAGGAGTGTCACGTGCTTCTGTAGAGGTGGTGAAGCACCATAGTTGCTCGAGGAAACTTCATGGTGTAGCAGCCGAGGGAGCTGTGGAGGAACCTAGCAGAAGGGTGGAGCACCTTAGTTGCTCGAGAAAACTTCATGATAGCAGCCTGGAGGAGCTGCAGAGGATCCTGGTAGTGAAGCCCGGAAGAACCTAAGGATATTAGGATTGTGAACTTCCAGAGGTGGAAGGGGAAGTTCTGGTGGATTACTTGTAGGGAGTTGATAGTGTTTGGTTGTCATTAGCGTGCAAGACGCAGTGAGAGGTGAGTGACTGTTGGCATTCTTACGTCAAGGAGTTTTTTATACTGAAGTATCAATGAACATTTATACTGGTATATGTTATTGCATTCAAATGCTGATTTTCTGTATATATATGTTATCTTGCTGATGGTGCAACAGTGTATGTAGACTTGATCAACTTGAGGAGGTTGATAGTATCAGGTGGTGAACCAGGAGATAGGATACCACTTGATAAGCTGATAATAGAGTCCTGATGGTGTTGGAGTGCAACCTGATTGTGATATTATAGAG